TTTAATTCCCACACGAACCAATTTTTTTTTTTTTTTTTTTTTTTAAGGCAGATTAGTTGATGGTGGATAATGAATAGCAAACCTGGAGGTTGTGTGTCCGATTATCACACAAACCATTTTTTTAAGGCAGTTTATTTGATGGTGGATAATGAATAGCAAACCTGGTGGTTGTGTGTTCGATTCCCACACGAACCAATTTTTTTTTTGATCATTTACATTTGATTATTCAGTTATGCCTTGGAACAACTTAAGTACTGGATTATCATCAGAACTATGTGCTATTCTACGAAGCCATGTCATTTTTAATGACATACAAAACAGATTAAGATCAACCATTCTTAAACCGCCGTGTGCGTAGTCACGTGACAATTGGAGTCTGCTAATTTTGTCTGGTTTCTTTTGCCAGACAAAATTATAGAACAACGAGTTGATTTTAATAATAAAGTCTGCAGAGGGGTTTGGAATTGACAATATCATATGTATTAATTTGGGGAGTAATAACGATTTAATAACCGTTATTTTCTCTATAACTGTCACTTATTTACAAGACGCTCAATCAATTCAAAAACTTTTTCGTAATTTACATTAACCATGCAAGCCGCATTTAAAGAGAAATCAATACCTAGAATTGAAAACATACCTTTCCCTATCCAGTTAAGTTTCTGGCTAGTATTTATTTTAATTTCACAATATGTTTTACTACCTATCCAAACTATATTTGTTTTTTCCTCATTTATTTTTAAGCCCGAAATTCGAACAAGTCTAATGTATCTAAGGCTGATGCAGTGACGTTTCCGAACCATCTAACACTAGTGTGGTATCGTCTGCATATTGCGATATCTTATATTCTACCTCATTCAATTTGCTCATTCAACTTGCTTAACAAACAATAGTAATATATTATAGTATAATTATAAATATAATACTAAGACTAATGATAATATTAATGATTATAATATTTATAGTAATAATCGGTACCGTAATAGCAATGATAACAGTAATATACAAATATTACAATAATAATATAATAATAATAATAATCATTATTATTATTATATTAATAATAAAAAGGGTGGTAATAGATGTAATTTTATGCAAAAAAAAATGGTATTTGTTCTTAACAAATATCCGGCCTATACAATAATCATTTAATTCATATAAATATATTATATAGTAACAATATTAAAGTTTCATGTTGTTACCAACGATGATGATGATAATGATGATGACTGTCAACTTCTTTTTTGTAAGATGGAGAATGTGTGAAAGGGAGATTCTTTCTGATGTCCATGTTTTCGTGGCGCATAGTAATGAATATCATGTTATTCAAAACAACGGCGTTGCAGTAGAGGTGCTACCTGTGCCAAATCTATTTTGCAATCATGAGGAAGCTGAGACAAGTATGATACTGCACAGTGTGTGTGCAGCAAAGTCAAAGTCATTGTTGTCAATAGCCCAGATACAGATTTGTTTTGAAATTTTGACATTCTATGCCTATTTACTGTAATAAGAATGAGAAAATTTACCTGACCGTTTTCAAGAGGGGGTAAACGTTGAAGTTTGAAAAACTTAAAAGTTATTAAAAGACACCGCAGAAGTCAGGAAAACTCATTTCCCGCCATCTAGGAATCAAAATTTTCCCGCACCCCCTTTCATTTTGTGGGTTTGGAAACATTTTGACCCCCTCCCCTAAAATTGAACCCAGATCCGCCCCTGTGTTTTGCTTTATTATCAATTGTCTCACAGAAGTCAGTGCCAGAAATGGAGAAAAAAAGAAAATTATATTCAAATTTAAAGCTATTCTTCAGAGGAAAATTATTTTTGTAGTGTTGTAGAACTGATTGTACAACATATATAAAAACAAAAAAAATTCCTCCTAAGGAGCCTGGCATATACCCTATATACGGATTTTAATTACATTTTGATATACATATTTGATTAATTTTTTCTGGTCGTCATATCATTTATTTGCAAAAATAACAGGAGCTACTTAAGGGTCTATATAGCAGGATTGCCAAATTGAAGAATGATTGCCCTCGAGGGGCTCTCTCGGTCTATCGGCGACGATTAAAGAACTGCTTAAAAATAGTAAATTATTAAAGTATTTATAATATGAAATTGGATATTAAGTAGTGAAATCATAAAAAATAATCTATAAATATAGTTACATGAAATTTAACTGCTAAAAAGATTAAATGGAATTAACTATACAGGAGGCAGCTAACTGTATTATACAACACAGGAACGCACATCACGTTAGACACATAACGCGCATCGCGTTTGACACAAAATGGCTTCTAAATTCTCAATGTCACAACTCTTTGTATCTATGGCTCTGAAATTGGTTAGAGTTAAAGGAACTCTAAAATGGTAAATGAAGTTCCCCACCCACGAGTTGGCCGCGCCGGGAGATGGGGTTTTTGTAGGGTGTAAGAAAACGAAATGTCACAACTAGACGTCCAACCAATCTTATAAATTTGATTTTTGTCTGATATTTACA